GAACTACTTTTCAGAATATCAGTTTGGAGATTAACAGCTTGCTTAATTATAATGCAATTGTCTCTCAGAAATGATTTCTTAAAACTGTACAGATTAATCAATGTTAGAGAATATTTTGGAAAATATGAGAATACACCCCCACCTTTGAACTACAGTATATTACCAACATTCATTCTGACAAAGACATACTTAGTCCAATTGTTGGTTACTTAGTTGATTTCACTAAGTTTACCATAAGATTTGCATAGTAGAATTTACAATACTAGTAGTCATAAATCATTAGATCATATTTGCAGTATCTGTAGGAGTAGCCTAAGGCGTCATCCTGTGTATGTTATAATTGAATATGTACTAAATGATGAATATCTGTCTCTCCATATGCTAAGATGAATGGCTGATTTAATTTCAATATTAGTAACTAGAGGAAAAAAGTGTTTAGGGTAAAGAAAATATGAATATTGTTTTCATTTAGTAACTTACTCAAGTTTTCTCTGTTGATAATTATAAGGGGAAAAGGACTCTACTAATTGCACCAGCAATTGGGTTCTGCCTAAAAGAGAACAGCTAAACCAAAGAGTTATACCAGACTGTCAATTAAAATAAGTCTAGTAGATTAATTACATTTATTGCATCTTCTCAGAAATTGAATTTCTGGTACACTCCATCTAGCATGAATGACATCAACTCAATTAGCAGCATTACTCATGATTCTGATTCTGTTGTCTATCAACCACAATTATATCTTCCCTGGTTATCATACAAAGTTGCTGTGATGATCAAATAATATAAATGGATTTTGAAACACCGTTGAGTGTATAGCATGCTATACAAATTTAGTGTTTTTATAAAAATTATATATTAACTAACAACAACTGCAGTTCAGTTTCTGAATTGTATTTATAATCAACCATCAGTACATGACCTACTACAGAATAGTGACATAAAAAAAAAAAACAATTAAAAACACTCATTTTAGGTTCACAAGTTGCCTTATATCTGTAGCCAAATAAGAATAACACAATCTAAGAATTCAACACTTTAAAGTAAATTATTGCTAAACTGAGACTTCCCAGAATACAAACCTCAAGTCTCCTGTGATCTGCTGTGTAGCAGTCTGAGTACAGCATAATTGAGATAAGAAGACAGGGAAGCTAATGGAATTTGAAAGTAAACATGCAGTGAGTGATTTCTCTGGATACATAGTCGAAATTTAACATTCCAAATGCAACATCTTAAACCTCACACAGATACATACAAGAAACTCTGGTTCTTCATTCTCTACTGTCTGAAAACATATCAACACATATGAGGAGCTGACCATTTATTTTCAAGAGATGTCACTATTCAAATGCCAAGCCACACAGGATAGCAAGACAGAATTTTGATGTACAAACACTATAATTTATTGGTCTGAGTTTTAATGACAATTTGCAACAGAGAGGTTTTATTTTAGTTGCTGAAAAATTTGAGTTCACAGTAATGAATTTTAACCAAAAGAGGAGTTAGGAAATATTTGTGGATTGAACTGTGGCCCTCCCCAAATATATGTTGAAATCTGAACTTGTAAATAAGGAGCCCTGGTGGTACAGTGGTTAAAGCGCTCAGCTGCTCACCAAAAGATTGGTGGTTTGAAACACTAGCCTCTTCATGGGAGAAAGATGTGGCAGTCTGCTTCTGTAAAGATCCACAGCCTAGGAAACCCTATGGGGCAGTTCTACTCTGTCCTATAGTGTTGCTATGAGTTGTAATCAACTCGACAGCAGTGGGTTTGGTTATTTTTGGTTTTGGTACTTGTAAATATGACCCTGTTTGGAAATAAAAGTTTCTCTCGTTATGTTAATGAGGCCAAGCAGAGTAGGGAGGGTCCAAAACCTAATCACTTACGAGTTATAAAAAGAGTAGAATAGAAACCGAGATGTATAAAGGGGAAGGAGGAAGACAGAGGTCAGAGACAGATATATCCAAAATCCCAGGAACACCAAGGATTGCTGGTAGCTACTAGAAGCTGAAATAGACAAGAAAGGACTTCCTTCTAGAGCCAAGCCCTGAATTCAGACTTCTGGCCTCCTGGACTGGGAGAAAATAAATTTCTGTTCTTTACAATAACCCACGTGTGGTATTTCTGTTATGGCAGCACTAGATAACTAAGACAGAAATTATTCTTAGGGGCAAGGGGAACACAAGGATGGCTTAATTCTTAAATGACGCCCTGTACCAAGTTATTTATCAAAGATACACAGTA